CACACAACACAAACACGTACAAATACACACGCATGCACATCCACATTCACATACAAGCATACACACACAGACACATATATATATATACACACATACACACACACATACATACACACATACACACATACATACATACGTACATACATACATACATACATACATACATACATACACACATACATACATACATACATACATACATACATACATACGTACATACATATGTGTGTATGTGTATATATATATATATACGCATATGTGTGTATATTATATATGTCACATATATATATATATATACATCTTTCTCTCTCTCTCTCTCACTCTCTCTCTCTCTCTGCGTTTTGTCACAAGGAATTGGGCCCCGAAAGGACGGTTCCACATCGGGTTTGCAGGAGCACATCTATGATCAGATGAGAGGTTCCCTGATGCTTCCCCAGTTCTGCTTTGGGACACCATATGCGAATTCCTCTCTTATGCTGTGGGTCGTTGAACCGAGCCTCTCTTTCTTTCGCCAGGGCTGTGGGCACAGGAGTAGCCTCTCTCTCTCTCTCTCTCCTTCGCTCCGTCAAGACCCATCGGCGCGCACACTACAAACAGAAACTGCTTGCATGGGCAAAGACTACATCATGATATCTCAAGAACGAGATCCGCCATGAACCCACGGTCTCCCGCCTTCAGTCCCAAAGCCGCCCTAGGACAAGTCCTACGATCAGCATGCGCGCACTCGAGTCGTGTTCTCTTGCGTCTTCTGCTTTTACCGCCCTCTGTACACACTAACCTGAGCGCTTGATGCCCCTTCGAGCATCACACCTCGAATGTCTTTTAAGAGGCGTGGGAGCTTCCCTCATCCCTGGCTTCCTTCTCAACCCGCTTATTGCGATGAAGATCCTGGGAGTTGCCTCGAACCTGCTCGCAGCACTTCATTCCAGTTCAGATATCCCGATTAGCCTATGGGATTTACAGAACCTAAACCCCTGAGAAAGTCGTAGAGCCCACATCCCGAAAGGGTCCCTTGTCTGCTAAAGCCATGCATTGAAAGCCTGCTGACCATGAGCCCAAATCATGCCTACAAGCTTCGAAGGCAGCACGCCCACCATGAACTAGAGGTCCCTACTCGTGTTACGACTTCAATCCCCAAGGAAGAGCGATTTGTGGGAAGCCCCCTCACCGGCAAACTGCAGCTTGGCTCATGAACCCAGAGCTGTCTGGGTCCAGTCTAGGAAGCTGGAGAGTGGATTCGGGAGAAGCCACAGCTCCGGTGCAAGGGTGCTGTAGAATCAGAATATATACAATTCAAGCTACGAGTATGGTGGTATCCGCCTCCCTCCGTGCTGAAAGATACTGAAGCAAGCTTCCACGACCGGTCCCCGCCATCCACTTTCGTACCGAGCACGCGCTAGCAGCTACTTTCGTAGCAGCCTACCGCATAAGCAGCTCAAAACACATCACATGAGCCTCCAAACTTCATGTTGGTCCAAAAATTGAAACAGCCTCATGCTGAACCCGAGACATCAGACCGCTGTATCCAAAACCATTCGCATTAAAATCACCTCCACCCGTATACAAGAACCTGTTCACGTAGAACCTAGACCTCGATGGGCAAGTCAGGCACAGTCGACTCAGCGTGCTAATATGCCCGCGAGAATACCGCCTCCAAGGAAAGATGTAAGCGGGTTCCCTCGTTATTAGGACAGAGGAGCTGGCTTCGGACCTTTGAGGAAACAGGGCAATGGGGTTAGCTTCGGGACCCAAGCTCCGAAACCAGAGCAAAGAGCCAAATGCACAAATCAAGCGCTAGCAACACCGCAATGGAAGTCGAGGTGTGAGCCTTTTGACCGAAACCCCTTTGAACTTTGAATCTCCGAAACTCTACGAATACCCACAGAATGAGAACTCGGAGCGACGTGAGGGGCCCAGGGATCCCAACATTATGAACAAGTATGCCCCCGAAGTATGGGTATTCCACCAGCCTGAGGGCCTAAACCGACGTGAGGTGAAGCGATGGGGTGTTAGCTGAGGCTAGTAAGTAGATGCAATGGTATTGCCAGGTTCGAGATTTCAGGATGGAACCGAGTGAGGGTAGTATGGAACATCCATTTTCAAATCAATTCGGCGAAGCTATCGCGTCTTAATCACATCCCATCAAATTCTCAAGCGGTCAAAGCCAACAATACAACCTAGGAGCTATGGCAACTATGGAGCTGTAGCCCTAAAACCATCCTAAAACCTCTTCGCCTTGGCTTTTGCCTCTAGTTAAACATGAACGAGCCGTGGATTACCTTCGACCCTCTGTGCTTTGTGCAAGGTGAAAGCAAGAACTGTGACCAAGCAAGGCCCAGATCATCCTTTGAATCGCTCCCAAGGTAAGCTTCCCACCCAGATCTCCGCAACACCGTGTACATCTCCACCCGTCGAATCCAAACCCAAAGCCTCGAGTCTGCACTCCGAACCTCCTTAGGCCGCATAGCTTTTCTCAAACCTCTGCTCATGTCTTCCCGAGCCCCTTCCCTACTCCCAAGCCGTGCCCGTGATGCTCGGAGCCTGTTGCAGCCAGGACAGCAAAGCAAAGGAGGGCGAGAAGGCATCGAGTCTTCGAGGGATTTCGCTTGGGATCCCACACCTGGGCTCAACCCTCGGCGCAATCTCAAAATCCAGCCGAATCTAGCCGCAATGCCCGCATGCAACTTGGTGATTTTCAGGTCCGCCATCTTGAGTGCTCGCTTTTTGGCGTCTGGCTCTTTTTTGGGTCTACTTCAGCTCAGCACCTGCAGGCAGTACATGCCTGAAGGGCCTGGATGCGGCATTCAGGACGTACATTCGTGAATGTTTCATTTAGGAGCCGTGATCGGCTGCATGCCTTGGACCTTTTGCGGGCAATGAGAACGGAAATACCAACACTTTTCTGCAGAACTTTCCTGCAGAGCAAACCTCTCTACATTCGGCCACTAGGGGTCCTCAATAATTAGAACAGGGTGTTAGGTTTTATGGCATAACTTCATCCGGCCCCTATATTAAGCAGCCCCGTCGCCGTGGAACCTCCCTGGAGATCTCGAGAGCTTCTATCAGAGATCCTGAAAGCTTCTTTTTTTGGAAGACACCCCAGGGGGAGCTGCGAATATACTTACAAGCGACTCCATGAGTCAGGATTTCGGGATTGATTTAGGTTCAGGGTTTCGACTCTCACACTCGCACCAGGCAGGCAAGGTTGCACATAGTCACGTCACGCTGAGAAGACCCTGGAGGTCAAGGCGTCTATATGACTTTATCCAAAGTTGGCTGATCCTCTGCGGCCCTGCCACATAGACGAAGGTCATGTCCAGGAGGATCATCTTCCAAAGGCTGGGGTTCAGCTTCGCGGGCTTCACCTCGGGAGGACTGGCGACTGAGTCGGCTTGCTCTAGAAAACGTTTGTCTGTATTCAAGTCGGCTTTTCTCACCCCAGGAGGCTTCTATCGTTTAGTGTACAGAGAACGTGTTTGTGTTCCGGCGAGGTTCCCCCGGGACGCTGCTCCCGCCTAGTGCGGCGCACAGCTTGTGCGCCACGTCCCACAAAAGCCAGATTCATTGTAAATTCCGACACCACGGCCTCCCGTGGGCCTCGAAATGTCTGATTCCCGCCAGAACTTGGGAGAACATTTTCGCACTCCCCAATCCCGCCAGTGTATTCGGAGAAGCATTCTATTCGCACAGTAGTCCTGCACCTTGGTCGTCGTGGTGTGTTATCACTGTTTAATCCTTTCGCCGGTTGTCACTCAGGCGTCTTGAGCTGCCTAGCCAACTAGCTTGAGGTGTTAAATCAAGTCAACATCCCGTCCAGCTTCTGTATCTGGTTGGCTTGTGGACTTACGCTGGTTTTGTGAGGGCTACAAATGTAAGACTCAGAATAACAGAGCTCAGGTTAGCTCCTTGCTCACGACAGTGACAGGCGTCGTCCACACAGTCATGCAATACTGCAATACACACTGTAAACGTCCGAAACAAAAAGAAGTAATGCGAGAACATGTGACCGCGCTCTTCTTCCCGAGAAAACCAGTTTTCAATTTCAAGCCATTGCAATTCCTGAATACAAAGCCCAGAGCCGTAAGACCGTGAGAACCAAACAGGCCAACCCCAGCACCACTTCACTGATTCAGTCGTCAAGACGCAGGGAGGCCCTTCCCCAGGTTGTGGATGTGCGCTCCATGCCACAAATTGTTGAGGGCAGCCCCCAAGGAATTGTCGATGTACCTCCAGAAGACCGCAACTGTGAACCCGAACCCTGACCGTATCGAGGGCCTTGATTCAGCCGGCCCGCCTCAAAACCCAAACCCTCGTGAGGATTCGCGCACCATACAGTGCCCAAAACTTCCGCATATCAATACAGAACGCGGTTTTGGGAGCACCCTGCTCTCATGTTTGAGGAATGATACATGACCAAACCAGGATGTGGTGAGGGGTTCTCATTTGAGGCCAAATTTATGAACCTGGATATGTCTAGATTTCCAAGACTGTTTATACATGTGCAGTAGCCTCCGCACCAACTTCCCCAACTAGCCTAGTTCGAGAATGAATCTGCCCAGCCTTTGGAATCTCTGCTTGGTCTCCAACTCTTGACAGTCAGGGGCTTTCCCATTTCCCGCAAGATTGAGGCCATGGCAGCGAATCTTGTCATGCATACGGCCGGAAATCGAAGGCACGTAGTGACAGTGAGCAGGTGTCTTCACGCACGGCTAATGTGCATGAAGAAAATGATCGCGACGACGACGACACCCACCCTACATGCTCTGCTCACCGATATTGCAAGACCGATCCATTGCCAAAGACCCCTAAGCCCCACAAAACGCTCTAATTAAATAGTTCAGACTTGTCAGAACCGGATGCCAAGCACAGAGCGGCTTTACCGTGAGTTTTGAGAGGGTTCGGGTCTTCCGGGTATAAGGATAAACCCTACAGTAGATCGCAGACCCTCGCCCTCCCCCCGAACCCAGGGAAGACCCATGCCAGCCACGCGCCTGATACCAATGACAGGCGCATGGCGCTTCAGGGTATCCAATTCGCCTCAAAGGGGCTCTTGTTTTGATGCGCGATGCGCAGTAACCCGACCTGTAGCACCAAGCCCGACACAATAGCACACTACGACCTTGATGCTGTGTGTGCTTTTGGGTTCTGGGCTGGGCCCTCGCGCCCTCTCCCTGGATCTGGAAGCTCGCAAATTCATAGACCCGCGAACACTCAGGGTTCGGTAGACTGCTAACAATCTTCGGCTTGAGAATGCTGATGCAAGAGCCCCCAGGATTCCGAATCTACGGCGGAAATCAATCCAGGTGTTTGCGGTGCATTCTGGTATCATCATATGGGGACTGTAGTAGGCACACTATTCTCGGAAGACCTTACATGTCTATGCCTACATTATAAGCCGGGAGTCCCACAGTCAAGAAAGCCCTCTGTACAACATTCCGCACCCGCCCATCGGGCAAGCATGGAAATCGCGGTATGTCAAGCACAGTATCTGTGACAGCCCACATGGATGATGATGATGATGATAGCCAAAGTTGTCCTAAACTCCTCCATGGCAAATCCTCGAACATAGGCCCTGATCTGCCTTGCAGCAGCATCCGGGGCCCACAAGCCTGAGTGAACAGTGATAGGCTGAGGCTGAGAGACTTAGACAGATAGGTACATAGATAAAAAGACAGACATATAGATAGGTATGGTTATGGAGTTGGGAGGGGTACGAGGTATACCGGTTCTAGATGCTTCTGGTTACTTCTCTCCCTTGATTTTGCTGTCTCGTTCGGGCTGCTCACAAGTAAGTTTTCTTCATGCAAGACTCCCCATCGGCACAGCGTTTCGCATATTCAGAGACCGCACTTTCTCAAAATGCATGGCTGTAAGGCACAGGCTGTCACTGGGCTCAATCTCTAAGGCTAGGGTTGAGTAGCAACTCTGATTTAACATGCCTGCGCAGGTGTCAGCCATCCTCGTGCCATTTGGTGTCTTGTGCCAGTCTGTCTCAATGACAAAATTGATCTCAGGTCTTCTCGCCAGAAAGTTACCGCCCTGATGATTCCTGATTGGTGTTTCATTGCATTGCATTGAACTCCAGCATGCTTCGACTTCGACGGTTCGGATGCTCGTTAAAGAGCATGGTGGAAACAAGATACGTATTGGACGCAAATAGGTACGTAAATAGGTAGGTAGATCGGTGGATAACTAGAAAGGTAGATATATAGGTAGCCAAGTAGGTAGGTAGGTAGGCAGGCAGGCAGGCAGGCAGGCAGGTAGGTAGACACAGAGACACAGATAGATAGATGTATATGTATGCATACAAACAGCGAGCGAGAGAGAGGCAAATGAGCAAAAATATGAGCCGCTGCGTTTATTTACGGCTTCGGCTAGTTGCGGTATCTCGAAGCGGTGCCCCTATCTCGTTTCATCATGTTAAGCACTGGCAGAAATTCTTGATCTCGTTCAGGCATCGATAGTAGCAGCCCTTTAACTCTTACAGTCATGAGTCATACATGTATCTGATCTCTTTTGATGCGGTGCCCCTATCTCGTTCCCCACTTAGAGGAAGCTCTGACAAATAAAATACCGACCGGAGGTATCTCGTTTCAAAAGAGCATAGTATTGACGTAAATAGAAGCTGTCACTGTCGCTCATATAATGGACCAGAGAGAGGTGCGGGTGGGCTCTGCGAGGATTTTGCGGCTCAGTGCTGGCTATTCTCGTTACCCGTCAGAATTCATCCTCGGAGCACAACACTCGCATAAAGATGTCTTTCAGTCAGCGCCACACACTGACCACCTGAACCAGGAGCACCCACGACCAGTGACCAGGATCCCTTGAACCCGAGACCAAAACACGGTCCCGCTTCGGTGCTTTCTATGAACCCATGGCTCATGGCAAGCTGAGAGGCTTCTGTACAAAGAGGGCGTGCTAGGCCGATAACGTCCACAGCACCACTGCTCAACGCCTCATTCATGGCAGTCCTTGGCTGGTTCTTGGGCTTCGGGTCTGGGCTATCCTGGGATTTCTTGGAACCCTTAACCCTGAAGCCTAAACTCCTGGAGGGGAAGGGCTTTGGTCGTTGGGCTCATCAGGCTTGTCACGATGATGAAAACTATCACTGCTAATTGTACGTAGCCAAAAAGAATCTCTCCCGTCCTACCGGTGAATAGGAGGATGATGGGACAATATGAGGGCGAGGACGAGCAGAAAGATCGTGCTGATGGCGCAACTAGGACTGTGAGGAAATGGTTGCTTTGCGAAAACGACCGTTGCACGGCAATCCTACACCTGCCCACATCTTGTTTTTTGCGCAGTCTGATGCGGTGGGGGCACCTTGCCTGTCGGGGCAGCAGGATCTAACCGCGGCGTTCCAAGGTGGCAATCCGCAAATAGAAGATCCTTGAACCCCGAGCAGAAAGCAGACCAATCCTTCAAGCGACGGTACCAGCTTTCGGAAAGTATGGGCTGTCGCAGGTATGACTCAAACAGAACCGGATCTTGGTCCACCCTTGCAATGTACTTTATGAGCTGAGCCGTGTCCTCGAAGTCATGCGCACTGATGAATGCGTCAGTGTTGAAATCACTGATGCCCGTGCCTTTGCTGGAGCAAGACGGATCGCCCCAGTAGATCGGAATAGACTCTGATGCAAACGCATGCAGAAGCTTCTCGGTGCAGTACCCCGGATGAGAAGCGTTCTCAAAGCAAATGTTGAACCGGTAGCCGCGCAAAAACTCCATTTTGTCCTTGATTGGCCCTCCGACATTGTTCATGACTTCGCCACCACAAGCAACTTTGTGGTACCTGCTGGAGAGGATCTGAACAAACCGGGTTCGAAACTCGGCATTGTACATTGTAGCGTTGCTAGCCACCCAGCTGCAGAAGCCGGCACGCTTGTGCACGGTGGAGTTCAGGTTGCTGCTGCGCCGGGCTTCATGAATCTCCAGAACGTCATGGACCTCCTTGTTGAAGATCCACAGCGGGATCCGCATGTGCACAGTTGGGGGGACCTCTTCCATGTGGTCGAAGGAAATGCAAAGAGGGACTCGGCCGACAGGCGGTCGTACATTCTCACCTGTGAAGAATACAAGCTTGGCTGTGGAGCCATACTGCAGATATCGCAAGCGAGATCTGCCGAACAGGCTGCACATAACAACGTCCGGGCGCTCGTGGGCTTCCACAACCTCGACACCCGGCAAGTTTGCTCTGAACCAGTCTTTGCAGAACCACCTGTCGGTGTTCTCCTCGAAACCGGGCCAGAAGTCCACGAAGGCAATGCGCCCACCGATCTTCGCCGCCTTTCCGGGCGAAGGCCACGGCCGAATGCCTTGGGAGCGACGCTGGATCCCAGGCTTCTGCGGCCAAGCCCTCCTCATGGCCGCGGCCGTCTCACAGAAGCGGGCCTTGCATTGCGAGCATCGGAACTCAGGATTGGCCGGTCCCGATGCCCCACAAGATTCTGCCATGATGGCGATGCTTGAGGCTGCTTGCTTCTTATGTGGAGGCGATATTGCACTAGAGCTTGCATGTATGGGTATGTAAATGTCTGTGTGTACGGCGTACCTCTAGTTTTTATTCATGATGGTACAAACAGAATACTTACATGTATGTCTGTATGTATGTATGCATGCATGTATGATTGCATGATGATCAGCATGCATACTTGTGTACGCACACGGCACACGCACATCTGTATGTATGCATGTATGCATATACGTACGTAGCTAGGGAGGCAGGCAGGTAGGTAAGCAGGTAGGTGGGTAGGTTAGGTTAGGTTAGGTTAGGTTATAGGTTAGGTTAGGTTAGGTTAGGTTAGGTTAGGTTAGGTTAGGTTAGGGAGGTAGGTCGGTAAGCAGATATCATATCATGTCGAAGAACAGCTGTGTTGTGTATACAGGCTCATTAGGAACATGCTCGGAGGCAGCTGGTGCTACTGACTACTCACCAATGCTTCCAACAACCCCGACCCGGACCGTTTCAGTACAGTTCTACTACCAGTTCTATAGGGCTTCGACGGGCACCACTCGAGCCGGTGAAGCTCAGCCCTCCTCGAGCACGGCGTCAGTCGTGTCGAAGCGAAACTGCAATCTTTCTCCAAGCCCCGGAGCCTGAAACCTGAAAGCCTGAGGTCTGATCCACGCCTGGTAAAAGCCTGAGACAAACCCTGCACTCGTGGTCCTTGGTTCAGAGGTGTGGAACTCAGGGAAGCGGGTCTGTTGCATGCGTGGGCCGGCTTCGATGCTCTATGTTGGGACGCGTGCTGGGGTAACAAAACCAAGCACGCCTACGCGGCCTACATCCAAAAAACACAACTTGCCTCAACCCCACATCCTACAGTGTCCTACAGCATTCTGCACGAGGTTCACTGAGCTGAAGCCACCCGTGAGCATCAGGGGAATAGAAGTAGTGTCACCTCAGATGGCCAAAGGATCCGGATCAAAGGGCATGAGGAATGTGGGCTTTGAGACGAGCCTGCCAAAACCGAAGAGCCGCCTCCAGAAACTTTCCAACCTGCACTCACCCTTAGGAGTAGCTACCACACGGCTCTGCACCGAAATAGTGACACAAGCTCGTCATCTTTCGCCTCCCATGTGCCATCCCAGGCACGGGCTTTCTTGGCAAAGTCCAGGAAGAAGGCCTCACAGGGAAAACTCGTTGTCCTTCCACCCTCCCGAACGAATCAGAAGGATGAAGCACGAGTCACATCCTCTGCCCTGGAGGAGAAACAGCTCGGATTCTGAAGCTCGCAAGATCGGCGAAGCTACTTCTCATAGGGCTATTCCTGCATAGGTATAGGAGCTCTCCAGGAACCGAACGTTCAAGTAGCAGGGCGTCATCGTTGCTGGAATATAATACGTGAGGCACATCTTAAACATCCAAGCGGGCTTGAACAAGACAGTAGCAGATCAAGCCTGGATTTATCACATCTAGATGTCACATACTGTCAGCCCCAGGCCGACGTACCGAGGTATGTTGCGAAAACTTGGACCGACAAGCTGAAGCTTGTTTTCACTCCGAACATCCCCCCTGAACCACAAATGATGCCTTCAACTGCCCCAACGTTTGCACGTGAAGAATGCTCGGCAACGGCCAGACTGCAAACCCTGCCATCATCCTTGAACCGGAGACTGGCATCAGAAAAGCCTCACGTTGTCGCGTGCTCTCCTTCACCGTCTGCATTGCCTGCCGGTCTTAACAGGGGCCAGGAAGTAGGGGGCGGGCGGATTCAGGCTCTTGGAAGGACTCTCGGTTGATCATGAAGAGAGGGTCTCGTACTTGAAGCTGGTGATGTTCCCACTCAGCTTCGGATGCGACCTGTCGATGGCCTCAGGCCAGGACTTATGGACTTATGGTTTAAGACTTAAGACGTTTAAGGAAGCTTGTCTGCCTCGCCTCCATCTTCTCGTAGGTGCCACCACTGATCTCGACCATGTCAATAGACTTAGTGTCCTGTGCTTCTGCTGCGACTTGGGATTTACGTGGGCAGTGAGTGTTGGGAACGGGGTCCTGGTATTGTAATCACACTGACTTACATGTTGCTGGCAGCCTAAGAGGTGGAACAAGAAGCAAAAGGCTGGGAAGACTTGACTCGCAGCTTTCAGAGACTACGACACTGTGACATTCAGCTTCAGCAACCTGAAAGACTATCAGGCTTCGCGATTCAATTTTGAAAGCCCCTTCCCAGTAGCCCTGAACCTGCAGTGTCACTTAACTCCGACCTCAGAAGCACCAAGAAAACAAACCACAAATCCTTTCGACCTCGTTAACCCCTCCACCCCCATATCCGGCATCATGCCGGGGACCTACACTGCTGCTTGCATCCTCTTCCGGTCCGGTGGTCTTCCCTGGTTCTACACCCACGAAACCACTGCTCCAGCACCCTGAAGCCGGAGCTCAGAAAGACATGAAACCCTAAGGCACTCTCAAAGCCCTCCGGCTCTGACGACCCCCCCCCCCAGACTTCTCCTCAAGGGCTTTGAGCACTTGGAGGGACTCCTCTTCGGAGAAACCTCCGCCCCGGCTTGGAGGGTTTGCGGTAGGGTGTTTAGGGAAAACAGGGTTCCGGGGCTTACAGTGAAGGATTCGGGCGATGGCCTTACTACATGTAGGGGTCCTTTAAACGGTCGGACGGCCAAGGATGAGGGTTCGGGCTTGAGGGTGTGGAGTTTGGAGCGGACGGCCCTTGGAGCTTAATTATTAGTGTTCAGTGATTTAGGATGCTACGGTAGGGGCTTAGGATGGCTTAGGGGTCGAAACTCTCTAGAAATCTCCTGCTTGTTGTTCGCCGGGCTTGATCTTCAGAGCTCGGAACGGGCTGCTGCACGACCGCCACCCCCAAATCGAGAGTCAGTCTCAGTTTGATTCTGGTTCAGGCCCATCTGGTGCCATGGTCTCTCAGAACACCAAGCCGCAAACCGAACCATCATGCATGGAGAGCTTTGCGAGTAGGGAAAAAACCCAACAATCTCCGCCTTACAAGACCAAGTGCAGGACCCCTTTCCAGGAAGAGATGAAGGGGCCCGAATACGGGTGAGGACTCCGCGTCGCTGCAGTCGCAGCTCTCGAGTTAAATGCAGGCAGACCGAACACTGCCACTGAATTCCTCAGACATTCATCTCGCGGCTGCGTTGACCTTGTGTACTCTACATCTTGGTTGTTCTGATGATGGCATATACTACAGTTACTTAAAACTCATGTCAACTATGTCCTAATGTCCCTGAAATGAAGGGGCACCTTCTTTCGGACGAGCTCCCCACGAACCTATACTTGACTTTCTTGGTCGCACCAGTCCCGTCCAGCTATTGGCAGTAAGCCTCTCAAGATTTTCTATAGCAGGAACCCTAAACCAACGGGCTTACGCTCTCACAACTCGGACCAGTTGGTTTGAGGTTTCGGCCCGGCTTGCAGGCTTCAAAGCAACCTCCGCGCTGGAAGTCTGCCGAGTTCAACTTGACCATCACCTCTGCGAAACCCTCAAGCAATCAGAACGGAGGAGTGTGGGAAATAGACTTTCGAGTCTTCGGCTAGAGTCCTGCGAATTTGATTCAAGATTGCTGAAGCTCAGAAAGGGTTTTTGGGGGCATATAACTGTGTGTAAGACTGCGGCTCAAGCAGTTGGCAAAGCAACGCTTTTGGAAATGAGTCTTTGAAGGGTTTATCAGATGAAGCTTGGCAGTTCGGCCCTGTGTTAAAGCTTTAAACCTCCCGTGGTCATCGGCGAGCAGATATGCTGAGGTGTCCAGGTTGGCGTTCAGGACTTCGGGGGTTTGGGTCATTTGATAGTGTTGCAGCCTAACGTAAGGTTTCGAGACACAGGTTGACAAGCTTGATTGGCTCTTGCCGACTCTTGCCTGTTAGTGCATATTCTCGCTTGCAATGATGGGCGGATCAGACTGGCCGATAGCAGCCAATAGCATTCAATCACCTCTGCGACGCCGGAGCAGAAACTTTTGTGCGATGCAAGCAGAGTTGCATGCGAGATTGCTGCTAGATTTTACAGGCCCACCAATGAATCTGTCTTGGGCAATGAGATGTCGCACCTGACTTTTAGCGTGCTGATCAAGGAGGGGTTGGTGGAGAGGCTGTGCCGGCTGTGAAGGGCTAGCTCAAGTCCTGCCGATCTCTCAAGAAAACGGCCTTGCTTAGGCCCAACCAAACCTCACCGCCCGACTGTAAACAAAGCAAACCCTGAAACCGCAACCCAAAGGAACACAGCAAACAGAATATCTGCCACAATTTCGGCAAATCGCCACGAAGCTCGAACTTACACGGCTCCGGATGGTCTCGACGATTTTCAGCAGTAGCGATCCTCGGCATTCTATATAGTATCGGCTGCAGAGATGGGGTTAAGGATCTTGGGATCTTGGATTCAGGCTTGCTTCTAGTGCATTACTACCGTACTCGCTTTATCAAGTTCAGCTTCACGAAGCATCAATGCAACTATGTTGACGCTGAGCATTCCGATCACCAGGCGGCATCATTGAAGCAATAACAGCATCGCAGACTGAAGGGCAGCCACCTATACCAACCCTTCAGTGATAATCCATATAGCAGGATCTCGAAGACCGGACCCCTGGACTCTGGGGCACCCTTCGCAAGTCAAACTTCGAAGCCGACTTCCACAAGATCCTGGGCTTCTGAACCCTTGGCTGTAATGTAGGAATAGTATAGGTAAATTATTAAGGCCCCCTATATTACCTATATCAGCTCTTTTTAGGGCCAGGGTTTGGGGTCTTGGGGCAGTCGACCAGTCTTCACTGATTCACTGTCTCGGTGACTTGCTTTAAGTGGATTCACGCCCCAGCTACCAGAAGCCCTCAAGCGTACTTTGGATAAAGACGTGGGCTGCAACGTCCAACATCTGACCAAATAAACAAATACAGCAGGAGTTCCGGACCAGCCTAAATCCGAAATCCTAAAGCCTCTAACCCCCCTGTCCGGTCCCAGCACTAAAAAACTCATCCAAGGCTCGTCGGTTCTCCAGGCTGCCACCGTAGGCGTCGGTCCGGCGGTTGGTGTGAGGCGACAAGAAAGAGGACAATCTGAGTGATGGTTTCGGAGTTGGCCCTGCATTTCACCTGGGGCCTAGCCACAACTAGCCACAAGGCCATGATCCCTGAAGTAAGTCCAAAATCTGTACAGAATGGACCTGGACTTCACGATGCTGTGGAGATGAACCTACATGCCTAGACCGACCACAGCGCAAAGAGCCGCCGCAAAAAGATGTGAGCCCAGGACCAATGGCACGTAGTCAAGTGGCAGATACCCATGCGCACTGTGGATCTGCACCCCATCCCATCCTCAAGCCAAGGCTTGAGAGTTGAGGGTTCCTGGGGGTATTAGGTGGAGGGTTGCCTAATCCGCAGTTCCACACGTCACTAGGGATCTTCTTTCAGGAACCCTGCAGCTCACCCATTGCCTGGCTCAGGACCCCAAAGTCCAAGCACCTAAACACCCTAAGCCCTTGACCCGAAACATCCCTACACTCACCGTCCTGCTTCCTCAGCTCTCTGGGCTGTTGTGGCGAAGCGCTCGACAACTTCTTCGATCTCCTCTGCTCTTTCTGCGGGAGCGTTTCAACAAAAAGCGCCTCTGAAAAAGTGGTCCGGGTCTTATTGGGTATATGGGTTAAGGCCTGTAGAGTGAGATTCAAGATGTACAGAAAATAACCTCAAGGTCGGACCGTTCGTGTCGTTTGGGCTTCGGGTTGTTGAGCGAGAGGCAAGGAAGCCACTCTGGAAAGCTTGGTTCTTAGGGCCCTGAAAAATATTTTGGCGTATACCATACCCAAACTACATAACTATAGGGTCTAAGATGGAAGATGCGTATTGCTATTACTGAGTTTCAGTTCTCTGGACTAAACCGCTGTTGCTTGTCGCGTGGGGGGAGGGGGGGGGCTGGTACACTCGCACTCCAATATCGCGGGCAAGGCGCTCAGCGTTTATGACATATCCCGGCTCCCAAGTGGAGAATAAAACAACCCCTAAACCCTGTGAGCCAGAAACCGGCGAGCGGCTGCGATCGTCATCTCGCGAGGCGTTCGGACCATGAAGCTCGCCAAGAAGGAGGGCACTCCAGGGACCTGCAGGGAGGAAGCCGGGCCTCTTCAGGGCTTTCAGAGTTTCGCCTGTCTGGTTTCAGTCTCCGCGGCATTCGGGCGTTCATGGCTTTCGTGCCGTAGTAGAGTTCTTTTTATTTTTAGGCGTTGGGACCGTGGCGCAAGCAGGGCCCTTTGATATGGGACTCGCATTCTGGAGTAGGGCCTCGGCACAGTCAGGGGCGAGGTTCACAGGTCACATGCCGCACTGCAGGACACATCGGCTTTCTTTTAGTGTCGATTCCTTCGAACTTTGGGAGGCTTTAGGGTGTCAGGGTTTGAGGCTCGGAGAAGGACAACCCGGCTTTTTGCTTAAGAGCTCCAGGGCCTGTTTCGAGACCTTGAAGGAATATGCGCGTTGCACCCGAAGGCTGGGCAGGATCAGCAAGGGTGGGGCTCGCTGCAGGCTGCAATCGCCCTGAGGCCTGAATTGCCCAAATGCTTGGACTAGGAATTGCCGACCAGATTTGGACCCCTTGCTTGGATTCTGGGTTTGACGTCGAAGATCAAGATCATACAATGTCAGCCAAAACCCCTCAGCGTAAATTTCCTGAACCCACCTGTCCTTCAGCGGAATCCTCGACGGGCAAAGCGGCTCGGAACAGACAGAGCTCGGACACTGACCTCGGGCTGCTTTTGGCAGGACCCGCCGACCCTACTCTAAGGCCTCAACCAGCCAGGCCCTCTGAAGGTGTGTTTCCCTGGATACTACTGGCATTGTTTGTACTGCAGACACTCCTTCTGCAGCTTCCGCAGAAACGGCAATGACAATGCTTCCCCTGGCGGCTACGACGACAGCTACAGTACGGTGGCTCCGGTGACAGCAATGCCGACAAACGCGACTGCGGCTGCAGCTGCGGCTGCAACAACCCTGACGAACGCTACCAATACTGCTCCTGCTGCTGCTGCTGCTGCTGCGACGACCTGGTGACCACCTCGACCTTTACCACCGTCGCCGCCGGCACCAAGACAAAACAAAAGTAACCTCTTCCGTTGCTGCTACTGCAACTGCGACTGCTAC